CTGGTTCTGGGCTCACCCAAGGAATCGTCACGTCCTGCCCATGACTGCTTAACCTCACAACCGTATATTGAGCGTTCCGCGCTACCAGGCTGCGCCCTCCGGAGATTAGCGGGGAGCAGCCCACAGGTCCAGGACTTTTGTGGCCACACAAATGTACTTTCTTCTTCATTGGACGTTAGACACCTTTAACGTTGTTTCAACTGTGCCCTTGGCACAACAGTATGGGGGAGCATGCGTCAGGCGTGGCTTCACTTGTTTGGTCCCAACAGGACATTTGGACTTTTTTTCTAATCGATATGATTTATGATGGTCGGCCTTCGAGCTTGCTTGTGTTCCGCAGGATCTAACTTTGTCAGACATTACCTAGCCAGCAGGTGAAAAGTTACTGTCGTCGTGCACCTCAGCGCGGTGACGACGACGCTGAGGATTGACAGAGGATGTACGTAGGTAGGATCTGACTGCGAGAAACCACCCACGAGAGTTGTTACTCGTCTTGGCTGAGGGTAAATCTCTTGGTCAAGGGTTGATTCTCAGCAGCACAGTTTTCCATTCGCTCCAGACTTTTAACCGAGAGTTGCCATTTGGTGGTACATTTTGGCAAGCAGACTTTACTCCTGTTCCGAATGAGTTTTGATAGACTTTTCACCCATGCGTTTGGGGGCAGGCTGACGACAGCCAGAAAGGAACTACACCTCTGGGGGCCGCCAGCTCCGAGATTCCTTGCCAACTCTGTTAATGCTCATTTGAGACATTATCCGTGGCGCACGACGGGGAAGTGCAGCAGGAGTCTTGCACGAGGTTCCGTAAAACCAGAACAGTGAAGGACTGGCGCCCGAGCGGGGTACGGAGTATCTCTTTATACACATCAGACTTAACTTTCCTTCACACCTAAGGCAGAAATCACTGCGTCACAGTGGTGATTCAGTTTCTTTCATTTAAAGGCTGTCGGCCAGTGGAGATACATCAAAGAATACAGGTAGCGTACAGTATAAAATTACTGTTGAAGATAACAATGAGAGAATGGGCATGAATGTTTTGGAAAGAACTTTCAATTGGTGCAATTAGGTGTGGTACTGACAGGTTTCAAATCAACGCTCCTCATTGATGTAACAACACATGTGAGATTGCATGAGCATAAGACTTAAGTGTTGGTCAAGCAAGGAAGCGTGTATGAGAGGAAGAGAACAACCAGGGTGCTACTGTAACTGTCGGCACTTACAACTTAGGACATATGAAGCATCTATGGTTAGGCTATGATGATTATTCTTAAATCAGTTTTCAGATCTTTGAGCAGAGTTACAATATTTAAGGATATAGTAGATAAAGACCCCGGAGTGTTGATACAACTCCAAAGTCGGAGTGTATCTGCCTGAGAGGCAAGGAACAAATAAGCCAGATCTGTAAAATGGATGTGCAAAGAAAAATCTAGCTCTGGAACAACACCACAATTCAGGAGTGGATGACTAGCTGGAACATTGTACCAAAGTTTACAGCCAGCGAACACTAAAATGAAGAGGTCTAAGCAAAACGAGCTAGGATGGCTTGTTCCCTTCTCTTCACATTCTCTGGTTTTCATGTCACATACATAGGGGCAATTCCCTCCCTCCCCCCTTTCCCCGGCTGCACTATTTGGTAAAAAAGGATAACTGAACCCAGACCCATTTTTTTGGGTAAGAAATTCATTAATCACTATACCATCACAGCTCCAACTTAAAGTACTTTGTTTAAAACAATAAAAACAAAAGGTTTAATGGCAGCTGCACCTCAGCCATTTGATTCTAACACACAAAATTTTATAGACGAATCAGCATTTGGTGGGTGATGCAGTTACCGTCATTCTGGTAGCTTCTAAAAGTATTAACTGGTACCCATTGTCATTATCACCATGTTCCCTTCCAGGTGACACAGGTGCTCATGTCCCTTAATAGATGCGGTCTTTGGCATTTTTAATCAATTTCAATGATGACATTCCTACATGCCATTACTTTGGATATCAAACATCATCTCTCTTGGTCTGCCTTTACACACAATATTCATCACAGTGTTTTCTAATGCCTCTTTTCTCATCACATGACTGTCTTTTTCTTATAGTTGTGTATGGCCTTCTAATTTCGTTATTTTATCCGTACACGTAGCAGAAGAAGTGCATAGGGGTTCCTAGTAAAAGTGAATGGACATCACTTAGTACAACAAAGCCGGTCATATGATATGAACAATATTTAGTTTGAGAATGGAGGTGGAGGCAGTCACTGCAGTCTTCCGCTGGCTTAAGAAGCAGCTGCACACATGGGAGTTGCAAGATGGACATACAGTCTGTTACTAGTACTATCAGAATTGGAACTCTACACTTTGCTGCTGAAGATAAGGAAACAGCAGTTATACAAATGTTCAGAGTGCTATGAAGTTGGTTCTTAAATCATAATTTCATAGCCATTTCCAGGCAGTGACTGTTAGTCAGCTGGTTGATCACAATATTTGCAGCATGCTTCTTTGAAACCACATTTCCATGGCCCCCAAAATCTTCTTACTTTGTTCATTTACATCAACAATGGTTCAACACAACATTTAAGTACTATTATTCTTATGTTTAATGAGAGAGACTTGTTGCATAAAATAAAATATTCTTCATCTTTTAAAATATCATCTACGCCTGGCATATCCTACCCCTAATCACTATCGTGCACCTTCAAGATGTTTTAAATGTTTCCAAACATTCAAAACTGCTGACCCGCCTAAGAACTTTGCCTGCTATCGTAATTTTACATTTCAGTATATGTTTAAAAGCTGCTGTAAATTATTTCTTCCTCGCTTTCGACAGTGGTACCCAAAGTTGATCATTCAGAGGCAATGGCAAACTATTGAACATAAAATTTGCCTAGAAATACAACAGCCAAAAAATGCTAGCGCTGGTTCTGCAACATTCTGTAAAGGAAATGCAATTAACTTTAAAATCTTGTGTTTTTTCAGCTATCACTACTGTATTCTGTGCATAACATAACCTGTTTATGTTATAACCGCAGGAAACTCGTATTTCTGGTCTATCTTTGATATTTCTCATTATTATTTTGTTACAGACAGAATCAATCTAGTGACAAAACACACCCCTGTCTAACTCAAAGATCTTTCCCATCAGTGATAATATATAGCTACATTTTGATTAGTTCATAATGTTTCCCTTTATAAAATATTTCGCTGTAATCTATAAATCAAAGTTTATCTCTCTATGTGTTCGGAGTATGTAAACTGCATCATTTCTTCCTTTCCCTTCCACAGTGCTCTTCACGTATGTCCAAGTATCCATTTTAATGCTGGATCAATTTGTCACCCATTGTTAATTTGGAAAAGAAAAACTGCAGTGAGGCAGATCCAAACTCAAGTAGTCTTGAGGCATGGTGTCCGCCTCAAGGGCTAGAGGTTCCGGAATCAAACTCCGGTAAGCGCTGGGATTTTTTCATGAGGACTTGAAACTTTTAGTAATTCCCCCTGGTCTCTGGGTATTGAAATCAGACACCCGTAGGCATTGTCGCGCACACAAAAATCCCTTGGGAGTTGGAAATCGAAAAAAGAGTAGCCAGCGGTGCTACCAGGGAAAAATTTGAAGTTCAAAATCTACTCAAAGTATTTCAGGATCTTCACCAGCGTTACAAAGCCTGTGCTGAGTTTCTTAGAACTCAGACTTGAGTAAGAAGAAGTACAGAGCACTTATGAGTTACTCATGTGTGCCATGATGTTGATCCGTTTTTCAATACGTCAAAACTTTTGCAACCCCCCCCCCCCCCCCCCCCCCCAACTTAGTAAGAAATTAGAAAAAGTAAAGGATCCTATTTACGCCAGTGGAACATCGGGCATATGATTCTAGACTCATATTTTTTTTAAAGACCAATCAGCATTCTAGCCATTCACTACCGTTGGCCCCTAAGGTACTCTTTCATTCATTTCCCCTACATTTATATCTCATACAGGGATCACAGTCACAGTCCTTTCCTCCATTCTGATCTCCCCTGTGCAATCAATATGCTATCACAGATGGAATCCAGTCCAGCACCTTTGGCTTCTCTCATCAACATTCACCACAAGTTTCTAATAGACGCCCTCATTTCCTCAAACACAAATTTCAATGTCTTCTTCTTCTCATTCATTGGCTCAAAATCCAAAGGAAAGTTCTGGTTATTCCTCCACCTTAGCTTAAGTCTTGTTCCAGAACTGTAATGTTCTGTGTGCATCCGTTTAACAGATCTGGATTATCTTATGCAGACTGCTGGTTCTTTGCCTCTCAGGCAGATACAATCCAACTTCGAAGGAAGACCCCCCAGTTAGTCGACTACTACGACCAGGCTTTTGGGTAGGTAGTGGGTCTATTCTTGTTTTCCCCCATACTGGGGTCTCAGAACCCACACGAGGAGATCCGTTTGGTGATTCTGTGTTCTTCTCTTCTTAGAATGTGTCCAGCGTGGTGCCATCTTTGCTCAAAATGTAACTGTTTATACTAGAGGCTGCCCAAACATTCCCAAGAAACTTAATACCTACATTTAATGAGCAACTATAGTGAAAATCGCGGTGTCCGTGGCTAAGGCGTTGCGAGTCCGACTCGTGAGCCAGCACATCGCGATCGAAACCCACTGCAGGCTGCGTGGATTTTTGTCGTGGTATGGGACGTCGCAGGTCGACCCAGCCTAAAATGGGTACCAGGATGGGCTGTCCTGGGAAAGTAAAGACAGCCGGCGTAATGCTGACCACATTACCCACAGAGTGCTGATGGTCTGTAAAAATATGGGACGCTCTGCCCATATGCCCGATGCACAGAAAGGCGTGAAAAGGGATCTTTACTTTACTTTTACTTATAGTGAAAATCTGCCTGACAGAATTAATGACCAGATTCAAAACATGTCACAGCAAAAAATTCAACAAGAATAAAATAGATTTAAAAAACAAAGCATCAAACAGTTTTAATAAGAAAGACATGTATGGTTTTCCACTGATACAAAACAAATACATTAATGTCATAACAATGCCAGCCTGCAGGATGAACCCTTCACAGCCTCTATCACGGAGTCCTTCAGCAACATCACAACATCCTGCCGAACCTCAGGAATGTCTGCCATTCTCTTTAACTTGGTGTCCCTCCAGTTCCAGTCCAGCACTACAGCAACCAAACTCTCCAACTGTAAAACTCCTGTTTGTGAAATCAGAACAAACAAAAAGTCACCACAGTGTCCTGTCCAGATTTAGGTTCTTTAATTTATCTCATGCACAAATCTGACTTTCACCTAGTGACAGTTAGGCCAAAATAAAGAATTTCCCTGAGGTCCTGAAGAGAGCAATAAGAGAGATGTTGCAGAAGAAAAAAAACATGGTCCTATTAAGAAAAGAAAGAAAGAAAGAAAGTGACACACATAAATAATTTTTTTTAACACCAAAAAGAGGAACCACATGGAGAGATGATGGCATCTTACAACAAAGGTTAATATAATACAGTATACCCAGAATAATGTAAAGACATTCTCTATGGTGAATTCCATATGTGTGGAAGATGTTGGGGTCGGCCTCTATTACAATATACAAACGTGTGAAAGCGGGACATGGACGATACAGGTACTGAGGCAGATTCATGAGAACAAAATGAGATGGAGGGGGAAAATAGGGAAGGCAAGGGGAATAAAGAAAAAACAATGACTGCAGATAGGTTTATAGCTGAGCATCTGAGAAGATGCACAATAAACACATGTGATGGCAACAATGGTTGTGAAATCCCATACACCAGCTGCGGAAAACCTTCCTTAACATGAGCAGGTCTTGCTAATCACTCTCGTCACCGCCATGGGCTGTGATTTCTATGTTGCTCTCTAGCAGAATAGAGACAGAAAGACGCCAACCAGTATAGTATACCTTTTACTTACCTTGTTTAATAAGTAGCAGCAGACGACCTGGAGTTCCAATTCCCACCTGGCAGTTTGTTTTCATGAGAAATTTTTTCTGATCCTCCACCTGTTGGAAAAACAAAAACTTTTTTTTTTACACTCAACTGATGGCAGAGGATAATTTATATAACTATCTGCATTGTAAAGCTATCAATAAAAGGAACCATTTGTTAGGAGTATCAAAGGGACTATATAAATTATTTTCTTGAAGGAGCCTAAAAAAATAATCTTGGCTCCCAGGTCAACCCAGCCTTAGATGGGTACGTCCTAGGAAACGTGATGTTGATCGGTCTTTAAAATATAGGTCTAGCCCTGTATGCCCAATAAGCCTGAGGTTATAAAAAACCGGGTCCTTGACTTTACTTACATAAATTATGTCTCAACATCTTAATTAATTACATGCTGTAAACTCCGGCTGAAGGTTCTGGTTGTTCATCTACTTCTGGAATTCTGTCTCAAGAAACTGGCATGCAGCCATCCATTTTACAGATCTATTTTTTTTTAATACAGACTTACTGACTGCTCACCTTCCAGACAGATGCATTCTGACTTGTAAGGAAACACCACTAATTAATCTAGTTGCCTTTTATAACATGCTTGTTTGAAAAGAGATTGGGGGGGGGGGGGGACCCATTGCCCTCCACCACCTTCTCCACACACACAAAAAAGAAAAAAAACTGGGGCCTGGAAATCTAAACGAGGAGTTTACTAGCAAGTTATATAAGTCTGAAAGGCAATCATTAGACAAAGCAACGATCGGAAATTGACAACAAAAATACAGTAGAAACATACAAAAAACACAATACCTTCATATGTTTAGCAAACAGTTTTGCCACTTTACTTTTATCATCCAGGAAATCTTTAATTTGTCTGAAATTTTGAAGAAAAGAAAAAACAATAACATAAAATCTCCTAAACAAGTCCTCCTTCTACTTCCCCCTCCCCCAGTTACCTAAAAAAAAATGGGAAAAAGAAGAGAAAAGGTAGAAGGTGAGAGGAAAGAAGAGATGTAAAGATCTTCTGTGCTTTCGTCCACGTCAGGACTTTGGTCTTTCGACAGAACTTGAGTTTTGCACATCCATTATAAAGATCTGGCTTATCCATACACAGACAGCTGGTTCCTCATCTCGCAGGCAGATGCACCACAACTTTGCAGAAAACAAAGATTAAAAAAATTAAATGGCAAGCAGAGAATAATAATCAAAATGAAAAAAAAAATTGTGAACTTGACTCCCAGGCTGCCCCAGCCTAGAATCGCTATCAGGTAATGTCTTGAAAGGTAAAGATGACTGGAGTAATACTGACGACATTATCTATAGCTGACTGCCAATCAGCATTTTTCTGATGAATTACACCAAGAAATAAATAATATTTCCATCAGTCTGTATGTATATTCCATAAATCAGGAATGTTGTGTTAGCAAAACAGGTAGAGTGTAAGTTACTGTAATAACAGAAAGGACTGTGCATGCTGCTAGTGAGTGCAATGACAGCCACAATGGTGACAAAACTAACCTGTTTAATTCAACTGCCCTGATTGCCGAACTTGTCACAATCAACAGGACAGGACTTCCATTCTTCTTCATAAAAAGGCTCTTTTTCACTGATATTTTCCACTTTGGCAGAATTGAAGCTAAATATTCACTTGGTCCCAGCTGATCCACGTTATGGGGATAAAAATCATTTTCTGTTGAAAAATTAAAGCAACAAACTACATTAATCGGAGACAATGCTTACAATTTAAATTGGGTTTACAGCTAATACAAAATATATAAAATACAGCCAGTGGTGTCCTATAGGACACAAGCTGTCTCATACAACTGCCTTTTTTAAATAGGTCTTCATGAATTCTATTCATTAGCAGCTCAATGCAAACATTATTGTAAAATGATCTAATGTTCTTCCTTTCTTCTCCGAAGTTTCTAAACATTTGCTGTGATTTTCTAAGCACAACATAAAAGCACTTAATTTAAACTATTTCGCCGCACCTGTAACTCATTACATAAGATGATATAGTGGTAATTTCTCTAGACTCTTTTTTCTGAACTATGTTGAAGATATGTCATAAAGTATACGTGTGTGCATGCATGCACTGTACGTACATGAGAAAGAAACCAAAGAAGCCTTACCTGGGTCAGGAAGTATGTCCTCAAGTAGTGATTCATCCACTTTATCACGCAACACTTTCAGCATCATATTTTTGACATCTTCGGCATTTCCAGGTGTTGATAACTTGTCCTCAGATTCATCAGTAATTCGTTTCTAATTTGGAAAGAACAATGATCAGCAACTGAACAATTTCAATAAAACCTCTTATACACTTTCTTTCACAATCCTACAATTATAAAGTATACTGTCATGCCACAGACTGTTTCCACATCCCTTTATACCTGACTATCTTGCTTAAGTATTTCAATACTCATAACCACAAGTGTTAATGAATCCAACGATGCTGGCAACAAGAGTGCACATCATGAAAATGTGAAAACAATGACACAGAGGGAAACCAAAAAGAAGATGCACTGTTTGAATTACTGACATTTTCAGACTTAACATCACATAATACTAAGCACTCCCTGGTTTAGCTACAGATCCTTTGTGAATCTGTGATGCCTAGCCACATAAAGCAAATATTTACAAAAGAAGCAGTAGTTTTATTAAGAAAAAAATAAATAATCAAGACTAGATAAAAACGACTCTTTCCTTACCAAAATTATAATTTAAAAAAATATCTAACTACTTTTTCACTGTTATTCTTATTAGGGTTACTGGCTCTAAACTATGGCAACAAGTTATGGTTGTTCGTACTCTTGGACTTTGGGTACAATCCAGAACTTGAGTTTTAGTTGCCCATCCTTTTTGCAAATCTGGTTTAATTGCATGCAAAATATTTGTTCTTTGCCTCTCAGGTAGATGCACTCTGACTTTGAGGGAAAGACTGATAATTAGCCACCTCCCCCCCCCCCCCCCCAAAATTATGTTGTGTGGGGAAAGGGGGAAACAGTGAGACTATTCTTTGTTCTAAAGAAATGGACCCGGGATTTCACCAACAGCTGTATAGTGACTTGAATGTTTGTTTGCTGTGCTGGTCCAGCAGTCCAGGGTTGAAAAAAATATTGAGGCAGATGTTTAAAAGCTGACCTGGGCTCCAGTCCGACACAGCCTAGCATGGCTACGAGAAAAATGGCAGCCGGTGTAATGTTGATCACATCACCAATGGAGTGCTGATTAATCTATTTTTGAAAAAAAAAAAAAACATACGGCTAGTATTGTAAGGCCAATGAACTTCATGGCATGAAAGGGGGTTCTTTATCTTTTTACTTATTCTGGTATTTAAGGTACAGTAAAACCTTGTTAACATCAGCTCACTTAAGAAGAACACTTGATTTCACCATCATTATCTATTTCCACTTCTGCCGTTAAGCGTTGTGGGAAGGAACAGTTAATGATCCATTGTGATGAGCAGCAATGGCTACTATCATTCCGTATCAATACAGAAGCTCCTTCACTGTCATCAAACTCTCCTAGGGAGATCTTTTCATGTTCTGCACCTGCGTTTGTAGGTGTTCTGAAGGATCTCATTTCACAAGTGTTAGTTTTATGCAGGTTAGCCTTTGATAATGTCCAAGTCTGGCACTGGTAGCACAGTGTTTGTATGAATATTTTATGCTTGGTTAACATGAATAAAATCCTTGCTGGGATGTATTAATTTGAATTTCCTGTTAGCACAATTTTTGTAAACGAACTCTTGATCTTTTAGGACCAACAAGGTTTTACTATACTAGCATAAGGACATTTTTTTTAAATACTAAAAAATTGAAAAGCAAAAAAAGGTAGCAAAAAATTACACGCTCGTGTTTCTTTCCACTTGTCTCCTTTTTTTCTTTTCTTGCTACTCTTCTTGCCAGCAGTGCTTGAATCATCTGTCTTTCTTTTGACTTTACTTTTCTCTGCATCTGGACACAAGAAAAGAAACAACTTAAAAAAAGTATTTTATTCAGTTAAAGTTGTACGCAGACACATGCACAAAATAAACACACAGGCAGTGATATGTATAACAGCTAGTTCTGAGTGGCTGAGAGATTAGTGAATGCGCTTGATAATTTCATGGTCCTCGAGTAATAAGGTCCAAATTTCCATCGTAGATGGTTTGCCCTACTCATGGTTTTAGCACCATGGAAGGGACTGGGGGAGCTCCCTACATGATATTCCCAGAAGAAGCAGGGGGTGCACTCCAGTCAACTTTTATTGTGAAGATAGCACAGAAACAAGTTATACAGAACCATCTTGGCTTATACATATTTCTCCAGTCTTCTTTTATAGATCACTTAAAGTGACTGCAATACAGACTCCAATAATCAATGTTTGCTACGTGCTTATTCCAGCATGGATAACAAACAGGATGGTGTCACTGAGGTGTTTACTGGTGTTCCCTAGTTTTACTTGTGGAGTTGATCCTGTGGGCTTGATTTCCTCTCTGATTGGCAGTCTGGCTCATGTTGTAAGACATGCTCTAAAGTTTGCTTCGATGTACAACTGGCAGTCTGGCTCATGTTGTAAGACAAGCTCTAAAGTTTGCTTCAATGTACAACTGGCAGTCTGGCTCATGTTGTAAGACATGCTCTAAAGTTTGCTTTGATGTACAACTGGCAGTCTGGCTCATGTTGTAAGACATGCTCTAAAGTTTGCTTTGATGTACAACTGCTGTATGTGGCAGAATCAGCAAGATACAAACAGGCTCTGATTTACAATTTTGAGTCTTCACATTCAGGTCTGTACTTTTGTGCAAACACTATTTAAACTTTCATGTTCTGGTAACATATCTATTTGTGTATGTATATATATATGTATATATTTATGTTGGTTAGTTACAACATTTTGAAATTTAGCTCAGAAACAGGCTCAAATTGCTAAATCATGTTTGTCCTTAGCCTTCTGCTTTCAATCAATCAGGTGATGTCTCCATAGTAATTCCACTAGCAAGAGGTCAACGTGGCTGCTTCAGCATTCATTAGTTAAATGATTTTGTAAATCCGTGTGTTTCTGTTTGATTTATGTAATGTGCTGCAGAAGGCTCTGTTATGGCAACATTCACTTTCTGAAAACTTCCGGTCAAAATGGACGCCAGGCGTGGTTACTGTTTCGCGCCGAAGCAAATTTTTTGCTTCTGCCAGACGGCAGCTGTTGCATTTTTGATCCATTTTGTAGACTGGAAGAATATAGTTTCGTCGCGCCAGCTACCCAGTTGAGTGCATGGTGCGACCCTGTGAGCTGCGGATTTCATTTTGAATGTTTTTCGACTGTGACCAACGTGGTGTTGTGAACTGTAGATTCAGAAAATGGCGCGAGGCCTGTCGCCGCAATATTGGTGGTGCCCTTATGTGATTAATATTGATTGTGCTCATCTGTTGGCGACTTCTGCTACCGTTGATGATGAACTGCATTTCTAATGTCAACTGTTTGTGTTAGCACTTCTGATGGCTACTGTATGCTTTTAATGCGTGTGTATGCTAGTGCATGTGCTGGGACAATCTTTCCACAAGAGACTGCGACAAATATTCTGTGCGTTTTTCGTTGGCACAGGAGCTATGAAGCTGAAACTAAGATTACTTTCTGTTTGTGTTCTTCATATTGTAAAGCTTACAGATCTACTTTTCGTTCGGTTTTCTCTCCCTGCACAGTGAGGAATGACTGCAATGGATGTCAAACACCGTCTCTTGTCTTGGTTGTGCATCCTCTCAGACTGCTGTATTTCCATCTCTTACTTGAATCGCTGCCTACAAATTTTTTTTCTCTTGTCTTTGACTTTTCTTTCTTGTCTGGGTTTTTAAATAGTTTAATTCCCAGTTACTCTCAGAATCTTCAAATTTGACATTGGATTCTTACCTTACTTATCTTTAAATGTCACTAAACATTTGAAACTTAGTTACAACTGGCAAATTAAATGAGAAAAGAGCATGAGGAAGACAAAGAGATAAATAATCTCTTCCAGTTCGTCCATCATGTGAGAGTGTGACTGCTGTGCTGTAGTGTATTGTTTTAATCGAGAACAAAATAGTGAGAATAATCTTTCCCTCTCAACATGACTTTTAACTTAACAATAATCTTTCATCATCATCATCCTCCCTTAACACTAGACTATGTGTCATTGGGTCACCAGTTTCTGTTGACTGTCTGATCAGCTCTCTCCAGCTTTGGCGGTCAGTTGCGATGGATTTTTTGGTTGCATGCCTTAGGCCTGTCCAGTCAGTCAGGTTTTGTAACCTGAAGGTCTTTCTTGGTCTGCCTCTTCTCCTCTTTCCCTCTACTCTACTGAGCGTTGCAGTATTGTTTTTGAGAGGCCGTTAATAGATCTTATTACATGTCCATACCATTGCATTTTTCGCCCTCTCACTGTAGTTAAAAGAGGTTCATAGATGCCAATCTGCTGTATAATTTTATGGCGAACATCTTCGTTTGATGGTCTCTGTAGTGTAAAGATATGCCAAGAATTTTTTCTGAAATATCGCATTTCTCAGAAATAGTACTAAATGCTTGTATCTTTCTTTTAAGTACAGCTGTTAAGGTCTACACACACACACATATATATAAAGTATAACAATTAAACTTTGCTAGCATCCCTGTTGGAGTAGCTGAATAGTATACGGCCAGAATATCCAAAAAAAACTGTCACTCAAATCACGCGAGAGGCACAAAACAAATATTTTAAACCACGACACTGGGCTACAACCCAGTAAAAGTGAAGAAGACAATAGATAGATAGCATCCCTATATTTCTAGAAGTAAGATAAGAAGTAAGAAGTTCAAGTAGTAATTAATTTGGCGCTTCTTTGATCCATTCCCCAAAATGGCAGCATGCCACATTCTGGCCATAAAATATCAAAAATTATCCGTACGACGGTGTTCCCGTATATCTAAAATACGGACTGTCTGCCAAGGGACAAATCGCGGCAAAACTAGGATTACTTGACAATCATTATCAACACTGCACACGGTACTAGTAGCAGACGATAAATACCGACCGTTGACAAAAATTTCGAGAGTTTCTGCGATGCCGATACTAGCAGACGATATTAGCGACCGTTGACCAATTTCGAGACATTACAGACGATGAAAACGATTAGCAATACTGTGTTCTTCCGATTGGAGGATTTAACAGCGGTAGATGTCAGACTTGTCGGCATGCGCCAAACGCGATTAAACTCATCGCCGAGCGTATCTAGGTGCCTGGGACTCACGAGTACAGTAATTGGAGGAAGTTGCAGGAGATGCGGTAGCTGCCACTCGCGTAGCGGCGCGGGGGATACGCTCGGCGGTGAGGCACACTCGCAGAAGCAGGTCGGCAAGCAACGTATCGCCGAGACCCTGTCAGAGCATTTGTTTCGTTATTCGGAGCCGGCACATATATTTTTAATAGAACTGACCCCGCATTCTGATATTTTTGGATATTTTATGGCCAGAAATTAGCCAATTTAGCTCCTTTTTGAACGCCATCATATTAAAGCCGCCATTTTGGGTAACGATTCAAAGAAGCGCCATTAATTTAAACATGCATGCTGACTGCAACCGAAACTTAACTTATTTATCAGAAAGGAAAGGGGCTTAGATCGCTTACATACATGAAATGACATTACAGTAGGAAAATGTTTTATTTTTGTTTGTTTACCTTTAGTCTGTTTACTATCATTGTCCACGTTTTCTGTTTTACTCCACCAGTCGTCATCCAAGCTGTCCGCCATTTTGACACTAATTTCGCAAACCCAGCCAACACAACAATGTTTTCGTATAAACAATAAGTAATTAGTTCCTAAAAGTTAAACAAAATATGCAGTAATATGCTATATTAATTAGTTAACAATTAAAATAAACCTGCTAATTATTAAATATATAAAAGAATTTATAAATAATGGTAAAAGAGGTATTTCCTATGCTCTAGCGGCTACGTTTAGTTTTGCTTAGTGTAGCTTTTCTTACCTACCTGTCATGGAGGAATTGTTTTGAGCTCGGCCAGATGCGATATGAACACTCCAGTATACTCTATGGAAATAATGAACTATTTGAAGCATTGATTCCGAATAAGGAATTAGGTTTCCCTAGAGTGTTGTAAGATATATTCACAGTTACTGTTTAGGTATCACGTAAATACACAGTGAGTATGCAATATTTAATATAATTTTATAATTGTAAACAAATCAAAACAATCTTGAATGAATGGAATGTATTGTATGTTATGTAGTTTATATGAAAATAAATATAATACTAAATCTTTTTCGCGTTTACCGGCTGTAAACTCCGGCGGGCAGTAAGTTCTGGTTGTTCGTCCACTTCTGGTCTGCAGTTCTGTTCCAAAACCTGAATGTTGCGTGTGCATCCGTTTGACAGATCTGACTAATTTGTATTTTCAGTTGAAAAAAGGTAGTAGTTACTAATTTATTTTTATGAAAATGAATGAGGATAATTAAAATTAATCTCTTGTAAAACTAATAAATATGATGATAAATTCTTGGGTTCATCATTTTAATTTTATCACCATGTTGTATTCGAGTAATAAACTTTATAAAATAATTAGGCTCTCCCCTAAACTTCTGCCCCATATTATGGCGGCTAAACAAATACCCTATCAGGGCCTCAGTCCTATGCTAAATGCGGACTTCTGGCCAGGGAACTGATCGGCTGCGAATAACGAAACAAATGCTCTAATAGTCTCAGCGATATGTTAATTGCAGACCTGTTTCTGCGACTGCTGCACCGCTGACAGTATCCTCCACGTTGCGCACAGCGCGGATAAACTAGATGGCTGGGACTCACGAGCAGCAGCTACCGCATCTCCTGCAACTTCCTCTAATTTATTTGCTCGCGCGTCCCAGGCATCTAGTTTAGCACCGCGGGGGATACTGTCGGCGGTGAGTTCAGCTGCGTTTTGCGCCTATCAAAAAAGTATGAGGGCAACGACGACGCTAATCTGCGTCAGAGCGCATGGTCTTCCCGCCATGTGGCTATTATCGTCTATAGTGTTGCCTGTCTCGAAGTTTTTTAATGGTCGCTAGTATTGTCTGCAGAAACGCTCGAAATTGTCAACGGTCGCTATTATCTGCTACTAACGTCTGCAGTGTTGTGTGTCTTGAAATTGTCAAGTAATTATAGTTTTGCCTCGATGTGTTCGACGCAGGAAGTCCGCATTTTTACATGCGACTGAGGCCCTATTAGGATATTTGTTTGGTCGTCATAATATGGGGTAGAAGTTCAGAGGAGAGCCAATAATTAACTTAGTGATATTATTGTCGATTTATTTTTTTCAGTGACTTTAACCTGGGAGAGGAAATGATGGGGGGGGGGGGGGGGGTGAGAGACAGCTGTTTTAAAACTGAGTGTGTTTGTACTTGCTAGATCTGTTAGACTAACATTTCTAAAAACATGTACTAACTGTTTGAGAGGATGACATCATGCAGCTTCTGTGGGACTCACTAAAACTGCTATTCTGTTGGCCTAACAATAAGCATTCTTTGCCACTGTTCCAGTTTTGATGTACAAGACAACTTTCATCCAAACCCTGCCTGTCGAAGAGCTAGTGTCTGTACACAAAATCCAGTGTTAGTAATCAATTTAAATGTAAGTTTTCATTGACTCACATTGGTCAGTAGACAGCCAGCTTGAAAATAATAATAAAGTAACGCAACTTATACCCAAATAGCTATATACTATATGCACAGTTGACTGATTCCACAACGATGTCGAGACCAGTCAGGTCAAGAGAAAAGAAGCCACCTTTCCTATAGGGCATCATTTGCTTTATTCTGGACATATAATTTGTCACAGTCAGTGCTTTACATGTGATTTACTACACTGAACAGGCCTAATTATATTTGATTTTGATGCAGCTCTGTAGTAATGTACCTAATGAGATACAGTGAAGTATGCCTGGCAGTAAATTGTGCAATGTATTGTTTTCTGTATGCATTATTTCAACGTGAAGAAACCAATCAGAATTAATCAATTATTTGTCTTTTGTGACATGCTTGTATTGGGGAGGGGGGCAGTGGGTCAGTTCTCCTCTTCCCCTCCCCATGGGACCCCGAAACCCACACAGAGATATTTGTCATCTTTGCACTATTTGTTACTTTTTTGTTTAAAACTGTTTTGTATTTGCAGGTTTGTTTGAAAATAAAACCTGGTGTTTGGCTGATTCCGAATTATTGTACTGGATGCGGGAAAATACAATGAGTAGCTTTCAGAACTCTTTGAGCACCACTGCCAATGGACTTCCTGGTGCCACAAGCCCAAACTCTACACTCCTGGGGGCTAACAGCGGCAGTGTCATTTTGAACAATGGTCCCTCCAGCTCACCAATGATTATGGCCACTACCAGCAGTCCTATAGCATCAAGGCCACTGCAGTCTGTACAGTCTCAGCCTGAGCAAATCATTGTGCCAGTTGGAAATGTGAGTCGTTGTCTGCTTGTAGTGTGTGTTCTTGTGTGTATGTGTAAAAGCAAGTTTCCTATTAGTATGCATATTTGATCTGACGTACTGAAGGGATTAGTGCGACTGTGGTGCATAACAATTTCATAGTCGACAAGTATTTGATCTGAAATGAAATTTTTTTTTTTAAAATAACATTAACTGCTCTCGGGGTTTTTAGACAGTGGTATGAGAGTCACACTGTGGAAGAGATTGGTACCTCACTGTGTAATATTCCCAAAACAGCAGGAGGTGAACTGTAGCCAATCTTCATTGTGGGGAAGGTGCAGAATTCAGTTAGTAAACACACAAAAGTGACTCACCTGCCTAATATTTGCAGATTGATGTTCCTGCAAAGGCTTATTCGGCCATGATATTTCATAGGGAATTTCCCGGGACACTCCTAAAGTCAATTTGGTGTCATGTCTTCCTTGTTTTGGACATTGAAGTACATACACCATAAATGACAGCCACCGCCCAAAAAAAACATCAGTGATTCACTACTTACAAACCATCACACGTTCAGCGCTTCCCCCTGAAGTACTTCTTCATTGCACACATGCACCTAGGCACCGGAGACCTACTCACAGCAACACATACCAAAAACAGCAGTCATTCACAGAAAACAGAGTTGCGACAAGAAAGACCTTTTCAAACGAATCCGAGCCACTTTTTGACGCGCCATCTATAGATGGCAAAGGAGAACGTCTCATAACACCCCTACTGCATAGGACAGCATATGGGAACCGCTTCAAAATCTCGAGGCTGAATTTTTTTTAAGCCTAGAATGAAGAAATAAATATTTTAAACTCATTACATGTGTAAGACAGCCTTCAATTTTGAACTGAAAAACTTGGGAACACATATCATATTAGGCATAGAGGGCTAGACCTATAGTTTGTAATCCAGTTAACAGGTATTAGTAGAATATGTAATTCTACTTTTCTTATGGCATTTTATTGTAGGAATTTATGATAAAGGAATTTGTGGGTTTGTCTGTGTATAGAGAATAACAAGATGAGTGTGATACAAAGAAGTTATTGTACATTATGAACTGTTTTTCCCCATTCTTTCAAGGTTATAAGCACAGGTAAAATCTCTGACTCCCTGACAACTCGGCAGCCATCAACACCATCCCAAGCATCTGCTTCAGGAGGCACTTCACAAACACCTGCAGGCTCAGATTCAAAAGGTGTACTAGATAAGACAAGGCTTAGGGACTTGGTGAAAGAAGTCGATCCATTAGAGCAGATGGATGATGATGTTGAAGATGTGAGTTGTTCTCTTTACTTTTAATTAAAATTGCCATTATAAAATGTAATTTGTTGTATTTTTTCACCAAGCTTGTTTCATTACTCTACATCAGTAGCTACGCTGATGGTTGTGTATCTGTTTAAAATGAAATTTGATGCCGTTTCCACAGTGAAGATTGTCTATGGTGCACCACTGTTGTTTTTGGAAATATTACTTAGTGAGATCCCAATCTCTTCCACAGTGCGACTCTCGTACCTCTGTCTGAAAACAATGAGAACAGTGTATATCTGTCAGATCAGGGCTCTTCAGCAAAGTTTCTCACAGGATGAGCCCCAGCTTAGAAAAATCATTAATACAATGCAGTCGGTAATGATCCACATGCATCTTACTAGACCTCTGCTGGCCGGAGGGCTGCCAGTTGAAAAGCTCTGTGTTAGATAAGATTTCCCAGTAGAATATATAGAAAATGGTTCAAACTGAGAAAGACAAAATCTTCTGCTTTGCAATCTTCCTTTTTCTCTCGCACTCCTAGCTGTAGCCCTAAGGATGTTATAATGGGTGCGATAGCTTTAATCTCTGTAACTCTTTCGGTCCCAAGGAATGCATTGTGCATTCAGAGATTTCACCCTAGATGTCTAATAAACGCAAGATGTGCCAATGTTGTGTCGTTTCTTTGCTACCCTTTATGCCTGCAATGCTACCCCCCCCCCCCCCCCCCCCCCCTTTTTTTTTTTTTTTTCTTTCCCCAACTGACTTATTTGTATGTAGGCTGTTGGTTCTTTGCCTCTCAGGCAGATGTACTGTTACTTCGAAAGAAGCCCCCAATAAGTCAATGATGTAGAGGCACCGGGTCTGTTCTTGTTTTCCCACAGTGGGGCCCCTGAACCCACAGGGGACTACAATATCTGACAATTGAATCAATTTTTTTCATAAACAGCATATCTGAAAACACCTTGACTTCAGTGTTTTAAACAGAGGGAAAACTTTATTAATGTGCAGCATAGTTCCTGCAAGTGGAGGTCGGATCGACCTGCAACGATACAGGATGTTAGAGGCCCTTAGTAAAGGACCCTTCTTTATGCCAATGGTGCATCAGGCATTTGATGCTAGCCTCATATTTTTAATAGACCTGGTGCCATTCTGTGATCATCAACATCATGCTAGTGGCCTCAACTTCACAGGACATTACCTGGTACCCATTTTAGGCTGGGTTGACGTGGATTTGAATTCAGACCAGTAGATGAGCTTCTAGCCACTACACTACCAACACCTCTCCCATTAGAAATGCTGTCGTCATCAAAATACCTGGTGCAAGAGTCCCTCCGTTGACCGTTTGCATGCTACATGATAATGATGATAAATAGCAGGGCTGTTCAACTGGCGGTCCATGGAGATTTAGCAAGTGGTCCCATGGATCATTGCCAGTTGTATTCTATTATTGACCTTTCTGAGAGGAGCTGCTGGCCAAGGGCTTACAACGCAGGGCTCTTATGTGAGAGATCCGAGTTTGACCCCTGGTGAGGTTTTTCTGAAGGGGAAAATTTAAACATCCTAACCTTCACAGTCCTTGACAAAAACACCAGCCATGCGGCCCTGAATCCTTGGGGTCAGGACTCCCTGACTGCTACATCTTTAGATATTTGCTGCGCGAGACAGGGCATCTATGAGTGTGCTATGATGTTGATTCTTAAATCAGTAATCATTAACAAACTGCTGAATTTGTTGTATTTTGTTGCAGGTTTTGCTACAAGTAGCAGATGATTTTATTGAAAATGTGGTGGCCTCATCCTGTCAGCTTGCAAAACATCGTCGTTCCAACACATTGGAAGCTAAAGATGTGCAGTTGTATCTTGGTAGGTAGTGTCTTGGTAACTTTAGACAATATTTGAATTAATCACGTTCATTTATAAGCATGAACAAATTAATTAGTTGCATTTTAAAACATGCTATAGTTAGTGGTCAGTGGGCCTATTTTGTTTACCTCCCAAAACGAGGCCAGGGGACTTAAGAAAAATAATCTTTTGACTTCTTTATGTCAGTCAGTCAGGTGCCATCTCCACAGTGAAGGTTGACTGCAGTGGATCTTCAGAACGCTGTGTCTTTCACCTTGGATGTACACTCTGAGTGTAAACCCATGCCACTTGGGAGGCTTCTGCACAAGAGCGTCTTTCCAAAGAAGTGCATTGACTTGTGAGGGAAAAAAGGGCAGCTAAACAGCAAAGGCAGGCTAGAAAGACTTGTATAGCTGGTTCTTTATCTATAGATACTGTTTCCTACCCTCATTATTCTAGATCCTGCTAGGCCTTTATTGTGCTTATAAGTCACCTCCAGCCTCACAGTCAACTATAGTTTCATCAGAGATGAAAGAGAGACTGCTTTTTTTTTTTTTTTTGCGTCACTCTTCTACTTGTATTTCTGTCTGGCCTTGCTGGCTTGCCTTAAACTTTTCCTTGGTCTTTTTGCCTATAGCTGCACTTCATGCTCATCTTTTTTTTTTTTCTTCTAGTCAGTTTAGTCATTTTTAGATTCTTGGCTTTCAAGGTATAAATAACATTTCTCAGAAACCTCAGCTTTTACCTTTAAAGAGTGGTTGGCACGTAATCTGGTTTACAGCTAGGCTGCAGTATCTGAGCCTGATGGTCCTACACATCTGATTTCAACAAACCCTTAATTAGTTGCCTTTTACAGCATTCTCATTAAGAAGTAACTGCTCTCCCCCACCCCACCTCTTTCCAATGGGACCAGAGCGGCACACAAAGAGAGCCTCTGCTTCCACTCTCTTCCTGATGTAACTGCTTTCTTTCTCTCAGGGGAAGCCACCGCCAACAAACATAAAAATACAAAAACATCCCAGTTTCAATAGCCAAGAGTCATTGCGCCTGCGGCGCTTCCCCTGCAGTACTTTTTACTTGTACACGGGAGCTTATGGCGCCTGAAATTAACTCACAACAACACAACCTCCCACAAACATTACATATGCTGGACGAACACCAAACCAAGTCATATCATAACATAGAGGTCCAGCAACCTAAGGAGGCATGATTTCCAAGAGAAGTTACACTAATCCTGGGTTTTGAAAAGTGTAAACAGGTCCAATATTCATATTATCGACTTGCACGTGGCGGGAGTTTATATTTAAAGACTGAAGAAATAAATTCAAACTATCGACCTGCATGTGGCGGGAGTTTATATTTAAAGACTGAAGTAATAAATTCATACTATCGACGTGCATGTGGCCGGAGTTTACATTTTAAGACTGAAGAAATAAATTCATACTGATCTGTCTGAGGTTAATACTGTAGTCTTCTAAGACTGCCTTCTAAGTCTTATGTTTGCTTCAACTCTGGTTGTATTATGTTTGAACAATGATTATTGTTATCTACCATCTATATCATTTTCTGCTGTTTATGTGTCTAACTGAGCTCACAGTCATTTCCTCCATTTCATTCTATCCAAAACAACTGTTATAATATTATGTATGGAATCCATTCAGCACCTCTGGCTTCTTAATGTTCACCATAGGATGTCTCTTGCTTGCTCATTCTGTTGTCCTGCTATCAGTGCCAGTTGTTGTGATATATCTTTCCCCTGGGGGTTCCCAAGCCCTATTGTAGTGAAAGCAAGAATAGACCTGCTGCCTCCCCATCAAGCAAATTGTAAGAGTCAGCTACCTGGGAGCTTCCTTCGAAGTGGGAGTGCATCTGCCTGAGAGGCAAGGTTCCAATAGCCTCCATACATATAAGCCACATGTGTAAAACAGATGTGTACTCAACACTCAGGTTCTGGAGCAAGACTAAAGTTCAAAAGTGGACCAAAAACCAGAACTTTCTGCTGAAGTTGACAGTCAGGAAACGGGAAAAAAGAAGTAATATATCTTACAGTGTAAGTACACTGCCCAAACATTACACAGTGGGGCTGATTTTATTATTGCCATCATCCTCACAGGTATTCGTATATCCGTTCTCTGAATACCACCTTATGCACAGGATGAACATTGATCTTCGTAAACTTGTCTCATTGAATCAGCTATCTCAGGAGCAGTTTACACTTAAAACTTCATTATGTCTGGCTGGCTGTATAATTAGCGATGCAGCTTTCACAGGCAATGTGTGGTACAGTCTTCTTTGGGCAGTGTTAGTTTTTTCAGACATAGATAAGTGGTGCCTTTTTTTTTTTTGGATAACAAGCTTTGCTGCACGGGTGGCATTTTTGTATTTTCATTTATATATACCATACCTAACTTATTTCTTTCTTTGCGAACATTATAAATGTCTGATAAAAATTTTTTTTTTTTTTAAATCAAATACAGAACGCTGCTGGAACATGCAGGTTCCTGGTTTTGGTGCAGAAGAGTTTCGCCCTTACAAGAAATCTATAACAACAGAAGCACACAAACAGGTGGGTTGGTATATCTTAACAGTATCACTGTGTCTCATTTGTTAGCTTACTTCCTACTTCTGTCACACGGGATCTCCATTATGGCAGCCTGCTGCATTTTTTTTTTTTTTGCCTGTTGTAGTCTCTGTCAGCTTACATTAATTCATTTCCCTTTCTGCTGTTCACAGTTGAGCTGCTGACCTAATTTTGGCTTTGATCCCCAGCCATCATTTCATAATTTGTTTAGCTAATTTCACTTCTTTTGACCAGTTTAATGTTTTCACTTGATTCTTTTTCCCCGTAACAGGGTGCCTTTTGTTTTAAACAGTAATGGATTATCAGCCCTTGCCCGATCCCCAACATGGAGGACCAGTGTGCTAGTTTTGTCTAGCGTTTTGTCTCAAGATTTGTCCAATTTTGTTAAACCTGCCAGAGGCAGAATCAGTAGAATACACATACCATTCAACCATGACAAGGCACCAGTACCACAAGATGACACTCCTAACTAGAATTTGCAAATTTCTGATGTGTGTGACTTGTGACAGCTTGGCAAACAAATTGTAGTGTACCCGTTGGCATTCATTAATAAGAGAAGAAGACAGAAAATAGACACTAGTTGCTTACCCTCTGCATGACACTTTTTTTTTAGTTGGTTTTGGTATTACTAGGCAATTTATGTTCAGTAGTTTGCTATTATCCCTGAATGGTCAACTCTAGATACCTCGAAATCAGTGCAAACTGGTCTGCTGTCAGTCTGTCACCGCTAAAATTTAATCGGGTATATCTCCAGCGATTTGTATGATTACTTTCTATGCTGTCTAACTTGATAATTCATTTCAAAATCAAAACTAGTGAGGGTTTTACAGTTTTGGAGTACCTTGGGTTTCCTTAATTGTTTTAAGATTTTTCATTTGAGCCACACGGTTAAATATGAGCAATGAAGGCCCCATAGTAGAAATGTAATAAGTGTATGAAGAAAATTGACCTTTACATGTACTAGATCACCGCAACACAAGTAGAGACCAGTTTCCTTTAATCTAAATTATATGAATCTCAATAAAGTTTATGAGGTTGAATAAACAAACACAAAATGGTGTCTTAACTCTTTCAGTCTCAAAGACATTATGTTTTTCTTGATCACTTCAAAGATAAAATAATTTACAAGCTGTCTTTTGTCACCGAAGAATGTTATATCAATCTTTATTGTCGAGATCAGTGTTTCTCAACCTTCGTGACAGCTGAGGCTTATCTAAACAGAAGAACCTGTTTTACGGCCCACAGGACAGCTAACCAAACACAGAAACTAAAATGAATGTAGATAGCAGTTTATTTGTTAAATTCTGTTCCATGCATTTATAATTGTCAGCTTCCCTTGTGGGTTCCGGGGCCCCATTGTGGGGGGAAACAAGAATAAACCCACTGTCTCACCAACAGGCATGTCGTAAGAGTTTACTAATTGGTGGTTTCCATCGAAGTCAGAGTGCATTTGCCTGAGGGGCAAGGAACTAAAGTCTGCATACATATAAGTCAGATCTGTAAAAATGATGTACACGCAACACTCAGGTTCTGGAATAAGTCTACAGTCCAGAGGTGGATGAACAGCCAGAACTTTCTGCTGGAGTTTACAGCCTGTGAATAAGAAGAAGAAGAACTGCGCATTTCAAGAACAGATCACTGCAGAAATATTGATATCCTGGCATTTATAGGGTTGTGTCACAACCAGAAGTGGCTAGTTTTGGCTTTTTCAGGCCTATAGGGTTACGTCCCTATGTAAAAACTTACTTGTTTTGTTTTCATTTATGTATTTCAGAGGCTGGCTTTGATACGAAAGACTTTGAAAAAGTACTAGGATCTCCAGTTGTTCTTGTAATTGCCTGCAACAAGTTTACTGGACTGAAAACCTAACATGTTATGCACAAAGTACTACATCGTTTGCCGTGACTGTGTCAGTCATATCTAGCTTGTTGATCAGTGTTCTATTGTTTACCCTCATAGAGTTAGTGGGGAAATGGAGCTCACTAAAATCCCCTAGAGATCTCAGTTTGGGAGGAGGGAGTGGTAGGGGGAGAACACACAGCGGGGCATTTGAACGTTTTAGCTGAAGTCTTTATTGACAAGCAGAAATGTCTGGTTGATCTCTAGCGAGGAAACATAAGTCAGACTTTTGAGGATGTGCATTTTTCCTGTAGCAAAATATGGGTGAGTCATTGGCTATCTTACAGTCTTTAAGGAAGATAGGAAAAAGAGGCTTTTGAGATAAAATGCAATAGAAAGATTCTTAAGAATACTTTAGACAGAGAAGAAAAAATACTGTTTCCTAAATTATCTGAACATCAAGAAAGATTTGGCTAGTAAAAAAGCATCTTGCCTCAGAAACTGATATATTTTGGCCATATCAGGCATCACGGTTGACTGGAAAAAATACTAGCAAAAGACATGATACCAGTAAAGAAGGACAGAGGCCAACATTATGGAGATGGGCGCAGAATATTAGTGTCACTGTGGATAGAAATGTTCATGAGGCAGACGAAATGGTGAGAGACTGATGAGAGCGACATGCTGCAAATGACCTGGTACATGATGATGATGAGTTCAAGAAGACTGGTAATCTTATATTTTTGTGCTGCCTAGCTGTAAAGAATTTGTCTAAAGCATTTCTCACATTCTTGCACTACCCTGTTGAGTTTCCTAGCCCTCTTGTAATAAATAAATTACTGTGTACTAGCTCAACTGCGATGCTAGAGCGATTGTTAATCTCTTCACTGATGCCGTGTTAAGTTCATCGAGACAGTCAACAATTATCACAGATGTACCTGAGTGAAATTAATGTCTCCAGAGTGATAGAGTTGTTTTGTTGTTTGAAATGATATAGTGAGTTTTAAAAAGAAACAAATTTGACATTTGGTTTTCTATGCCTTTCATTGCAGAAGGGAAAATATACTTGTATTCATTTTTGTACCAGTCATATTCATATAAATTAATACTTTGTGTACTACTTAGAATTGGTCATTTGGTATCTCGTTTTCTTACCGTGTTACTTGTTCTGTCATTATAGATTCTTTCTTGCACATTTTGTAAAGTTGCTCAAGATTAATCAGGAATTTTGTTTATGTTATTGAACGGGGTGTTGAGTTTTTTTTTATTAAATCTGAATTGTTGGGGTTTAAATGCTGGCTGTTGCAAAATTGTTTTTTTTTCTCCGTTTCTGAACTGTGTTGTGATTTTTTTTTTTAATGTGGGGGGGGGGGGGGGGGGAATTTTTTCACTTACAGCTGCGTCAGGAGTAGATCTGTACATTTAACACATGAAAGTATTACTGCTATGGAACTGAGACTACTGGGAAGACAGTTCTTCAGACTAACTGCAGACTCTCCGTTGTAGTAAACAGAAACTTTCTAATTGTAATTTCCTGCACCATTTCCATCTGTAAGGTAAACTTCATCAACATTCAATTGTACTGCTTTAAATCACCTAGGACTTACTGTTTATCTTTCCATTTTGTCTTATGTAATTTTTCAGTATCGTGGATAGAAGCCAGTTTAGCAGCTTTGGCCTCTCTCATCTTTAATATGGTATCCTTTGGACATCCTTGTTTCCTTAATAAATTTGTTTCCCATTTTAATTGCCTGGGAGCCACTGTGGTCTAGAGGCTAGATGCTCACCTGCGGGTTGAAAGCAAATGGGTTCGGGTCCTGACAGGGGTCAAGAAAAACCTTGGCTACCCAGCCTTGAGTGGGTACCAGGTACAGCCTTGGAAAATAAAAGTGTCCGGTGTGATGATGACCACATCATCCACAAAATGCTGTTTGGTCTATAAGATATAGGTCTAGCCCTATATACCCAATATGCGTAAAGGTGCAAAAAAAAGGTCCATTTAAAATGCCTTAAAATGCTGCTCACTTTTATTGCCTGGATTTGCCCAGTATATTTCTTAATATATGTATTGTTAACATACTGCATTTATTTTGAACTTTTAACTTTTTTCCACTCCTATCTACGAGAGTCTGTTATCTAAGAATTCATGACTCCCAGTTGTGGGTAGCACACTCTTTACCAGTGGTTTTCTTTTCTTCTTTCTTTAACCAACCTTCCTAAAGACCAGTTGTGTGCTTAATTTCATGCTTTAGTACCATAGGTGCTCCACTGTCTTCCTCTGTAGCTCCACGGGTATAAAACGGCTAATAATGCCCGATCTCTGTTGAGTATTCAAACTTCTGCCCTTGGTGAAATGTTAATTCCTTGGAGCTCCAGGTAGCATCCTTATGCTCACTAGTTTCAGAATTCATGATCCACATTGCATGGCCAGTAAACCCCCACTCCAATATTTATTAATTGATTTTTAATAAACGAAAAACAACACAACGTAAGTCTCTTATCAACAAAAGAAGATAATTATCAAATCAATCAGGAAGCCAGCAAAAGAATACTATATATTGGACAGACCAGAGCAAGTCATTATTCAGGGCATGAGGCGAATTTCTTAACTACTTTGCCGCACAAACATACTTAATCAAATCCCAACTGTATTGTAGGGGCACAACAAATCCTGTCTGTGTCATCGGCGCTCAGCGTTTCCTGCTCCAGGCAATGCACCATGTGTAATCATCGTCACCACAGACGGCTCAAAGTGCACTGTAGCCCGGCTTCATGTGTGGATATGGTGTAAAATTTTAGTTTAGTTTTGTTCACCTGTACCTTAGTTAAGCTGAGTCATGAATTAACATAACAGCACTTGAGGCTTTCCTATGTGTGCCCCATCCTCATCTTCAGCAGCCAGCGCAGGGCTCAAAAACTGATGGAGCAGTGTGACCAGTGAGCGTTTTGCTTGGATTTTCACTTGCAAATAGTTTATTGTTTTGTGCTGCATATTTGAAAGTCTAAGCTAATCCGTGATTCTGGTGATCCGAATGGCAAAACATGACAACCTACGCTTATCAGCACAGAACACATGATGATGATTTCAAGTCGCATATATACTTTATGTGCAAGATTTCATTTGATCTTCAGAGCCTGAGTGGTGTTCTGTATATGGGACTGGTTGTTTTGTATAAAAATACTTGCTGCTTTATAAAAATGAAATGTATTAAACTTTTGATGTTGTTAAGCATGTGCGAATGCAGTTTTGATAATGTCAGTAATGTTAAAATGCTGTGTGGTTTTGTTCTCAATGTGAGTGAAATAAAAACTATGTATTCTGTCAGACGGCTGAATTTGCTGTTTGTGTTTGATTGTGGCAGTTTTTAAAAATTTTCTCAGTTGTATAGTATATGGTAAATAAAACGAACACAATCCCTATCGGTCATATTTCTAGCATATGATGTCCTGCTAAAGCATTAGGCTCTTTCCTCTAGAGGAGTGTTACCAATTAAGGCACAGTGAAACCCTGGGGATCTGTGGAAACAATTTAAGGGAGTCCATAATATCATTAGCATTTTTTTTTCAAAAATCGTAATGTTTAGAGTACAATTCTAATATTCAAAAACTTTGAAGTTTTCCAATGGGACTATTAAAAGTATTTGATCCAAGGCAGCAGAAAGAAACTAAATAGTCTACTACAGCAGTTTTCAGCAGGTGCGCGTAAGGACCCTGCTTTTTCTTCCCAGGGGTTTCAGAGCCATAGAAAAAAGTTTTGACAATTTTCTCTGTTTAGATATCTTTTTCTTTTGTCGTCTCACTGATACCAGGTTGTAGCAATGTAATGTGCTTTTCTGTATTTGTCTTTCGCTTTTCGGTTGGCTTGAGTTTCAGCTACACCATTTTCAGTTTCAAGTGAAAAACCAGTCATTTAAATCATCAGCTGTTTTCACTGCACACTCTGAAGCTTCATTCGTCGCTTTAATAATATTTATTTCTTTTTTGGTATGAGAGTACCATACGTATATAAAAAGTGCAGTAAAAATGTTTTCTTCCCAAGTGTTGTCTTTATCTTATGGTAGAGGAGATTATGTTTCATATTCTTCTTCTTTCTTATTGAAAGCTATGCCTGCAGCAATGTAACTACACATGGTCTTCCAAGGGGACAGGTCAAAAGGTAGAGAACATACCAAGAGCTGGTGAAACAGGTTAGGGGCTGAAGCCTGGGTGACACCCCCACTTTTGTCAAACAAACGTTTAAGCCTCAGAATTAATGGATTTAATTAGGGGTGTTTGCTTTGAAGCCGGAGTGTGAGGACCAACAGCCTGTTTACACACACACAAAAGCCTGTTCTGTAAAACGGATGTACAGTAGAACCTCGCTTAACGAGCAAAACAAATTGTAAAAACAATGACTTGCTTAACGAGCGTCGTTTCGCATAACGAGTGGCGAGGAGAGGGGAAGTCCTTAATTGTGCGCATTTTACATCAGTCTGTGTTTAGCACTCGTTCCACTAGCATCATAGTGTAACTTGTGATTACACATTTTCTCAAACTAGTGTTATATTGTGATATATGTACATGAATTTTCCAGGCCTACAAGATTACCTCTCTGAAGAATTTAAGTTCATCTAGATCCAGTTTCTGCCTCCGAACACCACTCCGTTACTCCAGCCCATGGGCAAGCAAGTTATTTCTAACTTTAAGAAGCTCTACACTAAAGCACTCTTCGAGCATTGTTTTCAGGTGACTGAAGGGTCCAACCTCACTCTCAAAGTGTTTTGGAGAAAAATCACTTCGTTGCCTACCTCAAGATGATCGACAAGGCGGGAGAAGAGAATACCAAGAGAATCCTAACTTCTGCTTGAAAGAAGCTTTGCCTGTAGAGCGTTGTTGATTTGTGACTTTGAGTGGTTCGAGACAGTGAAACCTGTAGTCAACGAAATTGTGTCTTCGGCTACTATCATGGGGTTGTAGGTGGATAACAGTGATTTC